GGCTTTGTGTAAAAGAATGGGAATGTTTGTGTGATAAATGTCCTAGAAACCGAAATGCCTAGGTCAGAGTTATGTACATTTAAAATGTGGATAAATATTGCCGAATTGCTCTCCAAAATTTGCATCTATTTGCAGCCTCCCCCACAGTGTATGAGACTGTTTTTCAGCACCTTCAACTAGAGGTTTAGGGATATAAGAGTTTTCAAAGCTTCTAATCTTTATCGTCAGGTAAATAGAGATGTTGTTCTTGTTCTTGTTTTCACATGTAGTTCTTTAATTATGAGTGAAGTTGAGCATTTTTGTGTGACTCTTGGCTGTCTGTATTTTCTTTTGTGTGAATTGCCTCTCCCTGGACCCTGCCTTCTTTTCCTATTGGGATGTTAATCTTTTTCTTACTTGTTTTTAGTAATGTCCAAATATTAGGGAAATTAGTGTCTGCTTATTTTAAATACATGTGCTATGAATTAGAAATCATCTCATGCTACTTTATATTTATTATGGAGGCACTTTTTTCTTTATGACTCTCCATATCAATCGATCTTACTTTTGTGTGTGTGTGTGTGTGTGTGTGTGCGTGCGCACGCATGCACACGCGCATGTGCACTGGCCTCTCCTAGGGGAGCCCTTCAACGGCCAGCTGGTAACAGAAGGAAGGGGCCAGGAGGAGGGAGAAGAGAAGGAGAGGAACGAGGAGAAGGAAGACTTGCACCGTGGGACACCTGAAATATTCACCTCGGAATCAACACAGACCTTCTCAGTCAGGCATCCAGATCGGTTTTCTTCCCATCGGCCAGACAATTTGGTGCCACCAGCACCACAGCTCCCACGACGAAGCCGAGATCACAACTGGAAGCAGCTTGGGACAACAGAGTGCTCCACGACCTGTGGGAAAGGTGAGCTCATGGGTGCACCTGGAGGGGCTCTGCAGAACCCTGAGTGAGTAATGTGCAGTTGGGCCCGAGGGACATGGCAAACCCTCACCTCCATAAGCCTGGCCATGACATGGCTCATTAGTGTGATGTTGTGTCGAGGTTCCCCAAGACCACCTTCAAGCTCTTCGATTCACTAGAAGGACTTACAAGATGGAAAAGCTGCTATGCTCATGGTTACAATTTATTAGAGTGAAAAGATAAGAGATTAGAATTAGCAATGAGAGGCAGAAAGCTAGAGATAATTACACATTAAAGCCAAAATCATTTTAGTGAGGACCATTCCCAGACACTATAAAGGTAAACGATATGAAATGTAATTGACATAAGACGCCAAGATCAAAATGTATTATTACTGAAATATTGTACCTTTTAGGTGGTTGGTGTGATGACCGTTAAAGGAACCAGATACACTCTGAACTAGGTGAAAACAAGGGAAAGTTACAAAAAGGATAAAAATTGTTGTCATGTAGTTTTATATCAAAGGTGACATGTGTACAAGATTCTCTTACATTTCATGTCTTTAAAGATAGCCTGGCCCAGCCCTTCCAGTAGGGTGAGATGTAGCTCTGTCCAGAGACCATAAGGCATTGCATTGTAGACATAGGGATGAGGACAAAAGCATGTGCTGTTTGTCAGCTCACCCTTCATGCTCACACAGTCTTGTGTTCACTGGACAGATGCCACCTACTCATCCAGGAAGTCATTCGATAGGTCTCTATCTGTTGTGTGCCAGACATCATGGAGGGACTCCAAAAATGCTGGTAATCTTGCCCCCTCGCCACCCCAGTCTTTATTGTCCACTCTGAAATAAAAATCTACCTCCCTGCCATTCTCTGGTATCTGGCCGGCACACTCCTGCTTAACACTTCACAATCTAGCTCAGGTGCCTCCTCCTCTATGAAACCCTTCCTGATGCCGCAAAGCAGAGGTAGGCATGTCTTCCCTGGGGCTTCACAGCAATTTGGGACACAGTTCTGTCCCAGCTCTGCTTGGACTGTCTATCTCCTTGAGTGTACCCTTTCAACCACTGCACCTGGTATCTTACCAAGCACACAGTAGGCACTCCTCAAGTGTTTCCTGAACAAATAGATATATTGTCACTACATTTCGAATGTGATAGATAGATATAGGTAGGTGATATAGATAGATAGATAGATAGATAGATAGATAGATAGATAGATCGATCAGCTATTAGAAAAGACATAAAGGTAGTTTTTACATCTTCATAACATCCTAGATATACAAGTCTATTTGCCTTTACTAGTGTTGTCAGCCACACAAAGAATGTGGATTTATGTGTTAAAAACTGAAGAATCTTATTATTTTGATTAATGTTCTAAGATAGTCTTTCTCCTTTGCATTGTGGATGCACACACATACATACACCCACACTTGGCATATGCCACTCATGTGCCTAAGATGACATGTCTACCCACTTCTTTCTCCTGAAAAACATCACTGGTTCTCAGGCCAAAGAGATATTAGAGAGAGGCCTTGGACATAGAACAAAAACAGAGATGTATTGTTCCTCTACCCCACCCTTCTCTCCTACTCCTAGTCCCCTTTTTCTTCCATATGACAAAGAATAGTAGCCCAAAGATGCCCCACCTTTGTTCCCTCTAAGGTTTGCACCCAGGCAGCAGAGGCCTCAGTCAGATAGGCAGGGCAGGTGAGGTAGAGTGGATGCACCAAATGTTGAATTTGTCTCACTGTCATCAGTAGTGACAAGTGTCCCATGACAAGAAATTCTGAGCCTGCTGGTACTGTCCAAGTCTTTTCTGCACAACCCAAGTCCGTTCCCCCTTGTCATTTGTCCCCACACTGACACTCTCCCAGACTCTCCTCCAGTCCTTTCTGGTAAAACTAACCAGACCACACATTTCTATGTCTGTCCCATTAAAATATCCCTTTCTGTAAATGCTTTCAACATCATGATGTCATCATCATATCAAGGACTAGTCTCAGGCATACAGGACTCCATCCGGTCATTGCCAAGACCTCTTCTGTCTACCTGGTCAAACTCTTGGCTTGGTTTGGTTGATTCCTGGAGTTCCGACTAGAGTTATTATTTTTTTCCTTGCTCCTTATTTTCTCCATCTTTCCGTAATGCCTTACTGACCTCTCTCTACCTGTGATATGATTCCCTGCCCCAATGTAACATACTTCTGTTTTGATCAATACACCTGACATATAATCCAAACAAACTGACCCCAGATTTTTCCTCCTGCCTGAAGCCAAGCCAGCTCCCGACCTCACCACCTTATTCTTGTTTGCTGGCAATTAGAAGAATATCGAATGTCATGCTTGAACAGTGAAGAGATGGCCAGGTGTCTCTCTTTCTGCAGAAACCAAAACTTTCCCAAAGAAAGAAATCATGGTCGCTGAAGTCAAGAATTACAGATCTGGTATGTTCTCACCATCAGAGAAAGAGAGAGAGCCTCCAAATTTATTTCATTGGCTAAATGGTGGAGCTGGACCATAGACGAGTGTACTGTAAAGGCAGTAAGAGGGTAGGGGAAGGCAGGCAGAGGCCATGTGCAAACAGCTCCAAGCAGGACCCATCTTTGCGAGACACAGAACATTCCTATGGTAACCTGTATCCTTTTAGCTAGAGATATTAAATTTCCCCCTTACCCGAATGCCAAGTGGTTGGGTAGTTACTTTTGCTTTCCAACCCACAGACTTGTCAGTAAAAATGTCAAACCCATGTGGTCTGAAGGGAAAGGGATAGGCTAAAAAAATAATAATAATGTTTTTACTTAATCCCTTAGTAGCTAGGTCCCAAAAGGGGACCCTGCAAGTGGTGAACTGAATCTTATTCATCTTTATAACTCAGTACAATGTTCTTAATGCATGTTGAATTTAATCAAAGAGCTCTTCTTAAATAGAAGCAGAGATGACACTGGCCAAAACTTAATTCCACAAAAGTTTTTGCTTCTTATTAATTTTATAGTCAGTACTGCTTTTTAGTCGGCTAATAATTATGCTTAATTGGAACGTCATTTTAAATAATGGTCTCAAGTTATAGCTACTTCATAAATTTTTACTGCCAGGGTACTTTAAGCAAATGTTTGTTTCGAATTCAAAACTGTCTTACAAACTGTCCAGTTTCTTTTAAGAACTACCCTCTGGCTCAGTGTGTCACACAAGATCAGTTTAAAGAAGCATTGAAACACTCACTATTCATGGCTGATGAAATATGGAAACACATATTAAAAGTTATTCCTCTAGTTGCAATTAAAATTGTAGCAAGTTGGAAGTTTAGAAACTATAAATGCCCGACCAATTAGCAACAGAGCTAAGACAGAGCTTTAGAATAAATGATAGTGTTCTGCCGGGCAGGAATTATGTTCTTTGTGAAGAAGCATCTTATTCTTCCAGCAGTTGAGTCGCGGGGTCCCATCTGGTTACATTGCTCACTTTGTAAACATCCATTATAATACTTCGGTGCTGCCACCAGGGGGTAGCAGAGAGAGGAAGACAGAATTGTGATTTGCTATTTCTTGGATTGTTTGTTTGGTTTTTGTTTGTTCTGAGAACTAGAAATTCCACCGAACAAATTATTTTTATCAAAAAACAGATGTATCCGTTTTTAGCCAATGAAACTAAGCTGTGTACTTAAAAAAAACTTGAGGCAATTAGCATGATTTTTTAGCAACGTAATAAAAATAAACATTAGTCCTCTGATAAATATGCATTCAACAAACTTTTATTGAGAACCTACTACTCTGCTAGGTACTGGGGATACAAGGATGAACAAGAACTAGTCCTGTCCCTGAGAAGCTCACTGTCTCATGAGAAGCAGACATATACTCAAATAAAATATCACTGAATCAGTACTTTATTAAGGGAACGTGTAGCATGCTTTACGAAGGGGAAGCCAGCTGCTCTTGTAGCCTTTCTCGAATCTTCTGACTTCTCTGCTCCAACCTGTCCCTTAAACATATCTGGCACTTGCAGGTCAGTTTGTTGGGCACTTTTGTTCCTGTTCAGTGACCTGACACAGGTGCGCTCACCAAGCCCAAGACACAGGTGCGCTCACCAAGCCCCAAGGAGGAGCCGTGCAACCCTTTCTCCGGGTTGCACCTCGAACTCTCCAGGGCCCTTTCTCTTTGATGTCTCCAGAAAACATGGAAGAAGTTATTGTTTGTGCTTATTTTATAATCATTCCCCTGCCTAGTGCTATCTTAAACTTGTGAAATTTGTTTTTATCTGCCTTTAAGCACTTTCAAACGTCCACAAATAGATTATAAGCTCTTTGAGGGCGAGAACTATTCTACTATTCTTTACACCCACAGTGCTGAGCAAAGCCCTAGCATGGGAGGTGTGTGTAAACATGACGGAGGTGTGTAGCATGGCGGAGGGGTGTGTGTGTGTGTGTGTGTGTGTGTGTGTGTGTGTGTGTGTGTGAATTGCTCTGTTTGTATAGCCTCTTGTCATCAGCACCTGGATCTCTGTGCACCTCCGCCACAGACCGACATTCAAGGCACTGTCCTTCAGACATTCTCCTTGTCCTTATAGGATCGCAGTATCCCATTTTTCGCTGTGTGCACAGAAGCACCCATGAAGAGGTTCCTGACGGCTACTGTGACTCCAGCATGAAGCCAAGCCCTGAGGAGGAGCCGTGCAACATCTTCCCCTGCCCAGCCTTGTAAGCCAGCCTCTCTTCCTGTCTGTCGCCTTCTATCAGGTCATTTTTGGTTGCTCATGAGTAGGACCCTAGTAGCAGATAGAATCTCATTTTTAAATCAGTCTACATCTGATTTAGAAATATGAGACTTGATCTATGCATCAAATGCAGCCTGTTTAGCAAAAGCACCTGTCTCTCAGAATTAATACAGGAGTTTGTAGCCTTTAGCAGGTCAGCACACCCCTAGCAGGCCCACCTTTTGGGAAATTGGAGGCATTTGGGGTTTAGCCTAGTAAGGAAAACAATGAAGGAAGCAAATAATTTGAATTCAATGTAGTCGGTGTACTTGTAGGTGAGCTCTGTACAGAGAGAAAATAATAAAATCGTAATACATCTGTCTGGAAGCCAGGAAGAGCATCTCAGGAGAGGCCTTGGACTGGTTATTGAATGATAAACAGGACATTTTCAGAAGATCAGAGGAAAGTGTCATTAAAATGGGTCAAAACTTAATTCTCAAGGTGATAAAAACAAAATTCTCATGCACATGCATGATGAACATGCGCTGATGTCTTATTTAACTAAATGACAAAGCAGGATGACAGAGGAGGGTATGTGAAAATGAAATGTAAATAGTTCATGAAAAACAAAAGAATGCCAGACTAAGATTTCTAAGTAAGTTCCAAAGAGGGTTAGTGTTCTACAAAGTAATGAAACTAAGCTTTGGAGTTATTTTATTTTTACTAAATAAAAATCATTGATACCTTCTCAGTTTTCTTAAATTGTATAGACTCTGGGCCCTAATCATCAGCAAATAGCGTATCGAACAAAGTTAATTTCTTTAAAATCAGGTAGCCCTTAGGCTGACTGGTGAGCAACGCTCTGGGAGAAAGATCACTCACAAGGATTCTGATGTTTCTGTGTGAGTCCGCTCAGGTTCCTGCCCAATTTCTGTTGACTGAAGCGATCTGTCCCTGTCACTCTTTTCTTTCCTTCCTGAGCCAGCTGGGACATCGGGGAATGGTCAGAGTGCAGCAAAACCTGTGGCCTGGGCATGCAGCATCGCCAGGTTCTGTGCCGCCAGGTGTATGCCAACCGCAGCCTGACCGTGCAGCCCTACCGCTGCCAGCACCTGGAGAAGCCCGAGACCACCAGCACCTGCCAGCTCAAGATTTGCAGCGAGTGGCAGATCCGGACAGACTGGACCTCGGTACGCATGGCGGGGCGGCCTGCTCTGGAGCTCCCTCTCCAAGAGCCACACCACCCTCCCCCGACCCCCAACCGAGACCTGACTTGGAAAGACCCCGAGTTCTTGGAACCTGTCCTGTGGGGATCTGGTTGGCTATTTTTGTAAACCGCAGCATGTACCGATAGCTCAGTAGAGTTAAAGCTAGTGTGTAACACCACACCCAACTTTAAGGGGGAGCCCATGGGAGCCGTGTGCATACAGGTCTCATTTCTCTCACGTGTCATGGTGGAGTGAAGGTTGGCAAATGCCGGTAGAGCCAACTCCTTCCAATCTTGCTCTCCCATTTCGTAGATGACAGAACTGAGGCTCAGAGAAACAGAGTAGTCAAGATATCTAAGAAGATCTTAGAGAAAAAGGTTGTGACGTTTTCAAGGCTGGGCTCCTCCCCAGGTAGCGCCGCATTGCAGGAGATCCAACAACACAGGGGTGTCCCACCACAGCCCTCTGTTCAGGTGGCAGGTAACAAGGATGAGGGCGCCATAACTGGAGAGTCACCCAGAGCTAACGCTGCCCATGCCGCTGACATAAGCTCACTGTGTTTTAGTGCTCAGTGCCCTGTGGAGTGGGACAGAGGACCCGAGACGTGAAGTGTGTGAGCAACATCGGAGATGTGGTGGATGATGAGGAATGCAACATGAAGCTCCGGCCAAATGACATCGAGAACTGTGACATGGGACCCTGTGCGAAGAGCTGGTTCCTCACCGAGTGGAGTGAAAGGGTGAGCACGCAGAGTGGGTTTTCTAGAGCTGGGGACCGAGGTCTGCTGGGCTGATGGGCAGGAGCCATGTGTCACGAGGTGCCCCAAAACCACACAAGTATGAATCACTAGCTGAGAATCCCAAACGTCATTTCTGACTGGGGAGAAGGCCCAGAAGTGAACTCTCGCAGGCTTTCTATCCTCATATGAAGACGGAGGGGCCCCAAGATTGAGGAGTTGGGTGTGACAAAATTAGTTTCATTCTCCTTAGCATGCCACGTAATAGTAAATAATGAAATACTAGGTAAAGTGAATAATTACATCACACCTCCACAGGTTTTGTGAGTGCCTAACATATAAAAGGTTTCCATCCCTGCTCTTTACTAACTCCAAACATTTCACACACTCTCTTCTCCCCAGCAGCCTGGCCTCCCTTGGTGGCTGGTGTCAGGTGTCAGAGGTTAACTCAAAGACATGTATAGTTAATTAGCCCACCAGTTACCCATGTAGGAGGGAAACCAATGAGACTGAGTTCATCGATCAAAGACAAAAGTAGAATTTATATAAGAAGATTCTGGAGATGGATGGTAGTGATGGCTGAACAACAGTATGGATGTATTTAATGCCACTGGATTGTACTTAAAAATGGGTAAAATGGTAAATTTTACATTATGTACATATTACCACAATAAAAATAAAAGGATAGTTTAAGGGGTAAAAAAAAATAAATAAATAACAAAGCAAAAATTAAAGCACGTACCTTGGGGCGGAGGAAGGAGATAATGAACTTTGCGGTGCTTTTCCTGTGGTAGCCACTGAGTGGCCAGCAGTGGGCGGGGCCAGCGAGGGCGCTCCACCCAGGGCAGCTGGCTGGCATCCAACCAACGGTTTCCGGATTTATGGTTTCTCCAGATGGGTATGGAAGTTTAACTGAGGTGTGGACATGACTGGCTGTCTCTGTCCTGAGGGCCTTTTTCTCAGTTAGGACATGTCTGTACCGTTTCTGTATCAGAAAATCCACGATTCTTCCAACCTGTAATGTGCCTACAAATTATCTGGGAACCTGGTTTCAGCACAGAATCTGAGTCAGCAGGTGTGGGGTGGACCCAGATCCTGCATTTGTCAGGGGTTCCCAGAGGTGTCGAGTCCACGGGTCCACGAATAGAGGAAATCAGCCATGTTTATGGAATCTTAGGAGACATTGCTGGGTTGGCGGCTCCCCGCTACCCCACACCCCGTTGTGTTGTGAACAACAGTGAGATATCTCGAGCATGGGGGAGTAAACTTTACACGTCAGAAGATTTGGGCCCATCCACCCGTTGCTTGATTCCAGCTGGCCGGCATCCGTTCTGACTGGTCAGTGCCCACCATGGACCAGTTGTTGAGTATTCTGAACATCGCCCTTGAGTGTTCACATGGGTTTCCACTCTCTCCACGGTGTAAAGTGAGCCTTCGTTTCCTCCTTCTCATCGTGATAAGAATCCACGTCAGTGGGAATGTTCCTGAGAAGAAAGGAAGAACAAAGCTGCAAATGCAGGCTTCACCACATTCAGAGATCATGCTGGAGAGTGTGTCACCAAATGATTCATCTTCTTGTGTTTTCCTGACACCTCGCACACACAGCCCCTGCCCCTTAGTCCGAGACAGTCCCCAGAGAGAGAGCCTTTGGCACAAACAGCGAACTCTTAGGATGAGCAACTGACTGTGACTTCAGTCCCAGGAGGGGCTCTAAACGCCTCCCAGTTAGCCATCAGGAAGATGCTAACCAAAGGCAAACAAAGGGAAAATGGGTGCCCATCTAAAAGTGTCCAGTTGACTCCGACTTCTGCCCCTAAAGCCGAGTCCAGCAGAGCTCAACCGGTTCTGTTTGCATGTCCTCACTTTTCCCAGCCTCCCAGCAGGGACATCAGCTCCTGGCATTGTGGGAACAGTGCTGGGAGGTGTTTCCGAAGTCACTCTGGCAGCACCCCTGATGTAGGTCAGATTCCTTTGTCAGAGAGTCTGTGCGTTGAGACAGTGACATCTATTTCTTGAACAGCCCGCGGTGTCAGGAGGTTTCCTTTTACACTGAACCAGTATTTATTTCTTGCCAACTCCTTCCGTGTCCCGTAGAAAAGCAGAGTACACTCTCCTCACACTGCAGACACACACATATTGGGGAACCCCTTCCACTTCTCCAGGCTAAACATTCCTAGTTCCTTCAACGAATTCTTTTGTGTTTCTGGATTTCTAGCTGTCCCAGAACTCATTCGTATTCATGGAAAACTTGCTGAATTTAGTGTGTAAGCAGATAAATAAAAACAATAACGCTGGGCTTTTCTTTTTATATCAGAAAGATGCTTTTGAAAATAATGTTCATTTTTCTGCTTATAAAGTAACATATACTGACATATTGTTATAAAAAATATGGGAAGAATCAGAAAAGTATACTTATAATCTCTTCACTAGAAGATAACAATTTAAGATTTTAAAGCTACACTGCCAAACCTTTTTCTACTCATAATCCTTTGCATACATAGCTTTTTTGTACTCATATAGTTTAAGGGTATAAATTATAATATATGCATAATTTGGTAACCTGCTTTTTTTCACTTACGTTTCGTGAACATTTTAATGGTATTAAAAACCTTTAAAGCATGATTTTTAATTAGAATAAGCTATTGTATGACGATTTTCATTGAACCAATCCCTTATTTCTAAATGTTTGGGGATTTTTTTTCTAATTTTTTACTATTATAAATAATAATTCAGTAAATATCCTTATGCATAAATTGTTATATGCATCTTTCTTTTTGTTTCCCTAAAATAGTGTTTAAGAAGCAGAATTATTTGGCCAAATGTTGAGAACTCTTTTAGAATTCTTGACACATTTTGGCATATTTCTCTCCAGAAAGATTATTTCAGCTTAGAGTCTCCCACGAAGCAACTGAGAGTGCTTTTATGGCACTGATTCTTTACCATTTTTTAATTCCATCTCTACATTTGCCACTCTCCGAAAAAGAATGTCCCATGTACAAAGGAAAAAAAACAACTTTGTGGGTATGGGGGTGGGGACTGCGATGATTTATTCCTCTTTGTTTCTCCCTGATTTATTTAGAACAGTAAAACCCTACATGTAGATTTACGAGGAATTCCACATGAGCTATTTCCCCTTCAATAAAGACTTGTAAATTTCCCTTTAGTGTAAATTTGCCTTGTATTTTAACATTGGTACTTGCTGGATCTAACCCTTCTTTTAAAATTCCAAATAGAGCAAAAGATGAGCACTTTTTCTTCTGTTCAGAAGACTTTTTTGTTCTTTTTTGGAAAAGGTATTTTAAGCCATGTAAGTTCAATGCCATGATGTAAGTAAGTAATTTTGCTTTATCCACCACCAGAATAGATCAGTATGACTGAATGTTCATGATTACTATAGAGCAGATGACTGTGTGTTGCGGGCGGGGGGCGGTTTTTTTTTTTAGGAAGGTGAATTGCCTTTGGCAATTCTTTTGCAATTCAAGGACTTCTTATTAGTCCTTGAGGAAGCCGCTGACTCGCTGACCCTGTTTCCTCGATAGTAACATTGCTGAGTGAACATTAAGGAATAACATTGGAAACCACGACCTAGATGAGGCTGGCACACTGAAATGGGCTTCCTGTGGGCTGCTTCACATTTCTTTGGCTTCATGTCAACACTGGGCCTTCCAGCCATCAGTTGGCCTTAAGAAACGTTCAGTCCCCAGGAATGACCAGCTGACAGCAGTCTTCCACGTGTTAATAGTGGCTTTGTATAAAAATCAACGCTGTTAAGCTTTAGTCTGAACAATGCAATTTTTAGCATAAACATGTATTGAGCACCTCTTACAAGCTAGGCATGAATGAGACACAGCTTCCATTTCAGGAGTTCAAGTGGGAGAGATGAGAGAAAATGAGATTAAAGGTTACAAACACTTAAGGATCCAGAGTGTATCTGTGATATTGTGATTTATAAGAAATACAGTTCCTGGCTCACAGCTCCCAAAACCCTTGGAATTTCCTAAATATTGAAAGTGATAAAAGTGTCCTTTATTATGTTAACGAGGTGACTTTTGGAAAGTAAGTAAGAATAAGGGCTGGTTGCCAAAGGCACCAACAGTGTGATTAGAGGGTTGGAACTTTCAATCCTACCCTCAGACCTCCAGGAAGGGGAGAGGGGCTGGAAGTTGCCTCAATCGCCGATGGCCAATGATTTAATCGATCATGCCTATGTAATGAATCCTCCATCAAAACCCAAACGATGGGGTTCGGAGAGCCTCTGCGTTGATGAACATGTGGAGAGCAAGAGAGAAGAGTAAACCTGGAGAGGGCATGGAAGCTCCGCATCCTTTTCCCCATACTTTCCTGTTTGCATCTCTTCCATCTGGCTGTTCCCGAGTTATATATTCTTTTATAACAAACCAGTAAAATATTTCTCTGAGTTCTATGACCCGCTCTAGCAAATTAATCGAACACAAGTTGGGAATCTTGGGAACCTCTGATTTTAGCCAGTTAGTCTGAAGTACAGGTAGTAACCTGGTCTTGTGATTGGCTGCTGAAGTTGGGAGTGAGGGGGACAGTCTCGTAGGACTGATCCCTTAACCTTTGGAATCCAATGCTATCTCCAGGTAAATAGTGTCAGAATTGAGTTGAATTGTAGGACTCCCAGCTGTGACTTGAGACTTGCTTGTTGGTGGGGAACCACCGTACCCACCCCCAACATTGGAATTGGTGCCGGAAATACCAAAAGAGTGTCCTGTTGCCCTTTACAATTAATTGATCTCTACCTAAATGAATTGAAGTTGTAAACTCAATCTGAATCTTCTCTTAAACTTCTAAGAGCTATATGAATAGTTTTTCTGACTTGATGACTCACCTTAAAAACATCCTTTGGCTACTTTTAATTGAGGGTGGGCTTTATCAGACTAGGCATCATTTATTTTTTCCAAGAGTAAAGATATTGAGGGTTTTTTTTTAATAATGAAGATGATGCATAAAACTGAAGTTCAGGAATAGTCATTAGAGCCTCATAGTCCCTCAGGGACCAATTGGGCCAAGTTTAGCATTTAACTGTGCTGGAGTGAGCAGGGAGTCCTCGCCAGAGGGTTGCTTGGGAATTTCATGCATCACTGTGTTTGTTTTATCTGCCCAGAGTTCAGTTAGGAGTCAGATCCTTCTTTTTTAGGCACATCCTTCAGGGACAGTGAGTGTGTGTGTTTTGGTGCCTCACTTTGAAGGTTAGTCTCTCCTGTCTGGTAGGAACCCCTCATTCTCCCATTTCCACTGACAGGCTTCCTGGGCCAGGTCTTGTGTGGCGAGCACCTGTCAGTTAAAATTTGTTGTGCTATTCACTGCAGTTGGTAAAATCTCTGCAGGGCTCATCCTTATAATGTTCTTTCACTGGGTTACGGCTTGATCTTTAACATTTCTCTTTTAAATTAAGTACATGGGGATATGGGAAAACTTCCCCAAGATGCATGTATATTATTTGGCTTAGAAAGCAGAAAATTAAGTTAATGAGTCAAATGGAGTTACCTAGAAAGAAATATTCTTAGGGTTTAAAACACAAACATAACAGATTTCTTTTTTAATTAAAATCATTGAGGTCACATTGGTCAATAAAATCAAATAGGCTTCAAGTGTACAATTCAATAATATGCCATATGTATATTGCATTGTGTGTTCACCACCTAAAGTTAAATTTCCTTTTGTCACCAAATATTTGACCCCCTTTACCCTTAACTACCTGACCGCCCACCCCCTTCCCTCTGATAACGATTAATTCACTGTCCGGGTCCGTGAGTCTGTTTGTCATGTTTATTTGTCGCTTTCAGTTTTAAATCCCACATGTGAGTGAAATCATATGGTTCTCAACTTTTTACCTGACTTATTTCTCTTAGCATAATTATCTCAAGATCTATCTATATTGTCGCAAATGGCAGTATTTCATCTTTTCTTATGGCTGAGTCATATTCCATCATATATATGTACCACATTTTCTTTACCCAATCATCTATTGAAGGACACTTCAGTTGTTTCCATGTCTTAGCCACAGTGAATAATGCTGCAGTGAATAATGCTGCATTTATCTGTGAGGGTATTTTCGAGTTTTGGGGGGTAGATACCCGGAAGAGGGATTGCTGGGTCATATTCTTAGTTTTTCGAGGAAAGTCCACACTGTTTTCCATAGTGGCTGTACCAATTTGCAGTCCCACCAGCAGCTATAAGGGTTCCTGAAGATAACTTAGATGCGATTTACCTTGTATACTTTAGGAGAACTTAAATATCTTGAGTTTTAAAGTTAGAAAAGAGACTAGGTAATACATGGCTGAAACAAACAAACAAATAAAAAGTTTAGTAATTGAATTATTTAAATTATAGTAACAACAGATTTTTTTTAACCTAAGAGACTGATTCATTGTCTCAGATTTCTAGTAACAATGCGGATTAAGTGAAAAGTATTTGTGAGCCTGTAGAAGGGAAAAAACTTTTCCTCTACCTTCTCAGGCTCTGTAATGGAGGCCAGCAAATAAGCTGACAAATAATAAAGCCAAGTTAACCGGAGAAAAGCATACAAGTTTTATTTGATGTTAATTGTTTTACATGGCACAGGGGGCGCTTCATAGGAAAGAAGTGAAAATCCCAAAGAAGCAGTTACGCTCAAGGGCTTATATACCATTTTTTAAAAGGGTGATAAAGTATGAAGCAGTCGCTAGACAAAGGAAAGGGGTTTGGGCTTCTAGGGACAGTAAATTGTAGGAAAGTGGCTAAGAAATGTGTGGAAGAAACTAATGGAAGGTAAGCATTCTTTTAGTAAAGTTTGTTTGTGCAGACTCATCTTGGCATTGACTCCCCATCGCCGATAAGAATTTTCTCTTCTCCCTGGAACTGGAAGGGCACCTTTCTTACGGGAAATTTATGCCCTGCTTTTAGGCAAGAAAAGGAAAATCTGAGAGCTTTTCCTGCATCTACTGTTTACCAGTTGCCTTCGGCTCAAAATAATCATTATCGCAAAGGAGCATATTTTGGGGGTGGCATTTTCTAACCCGCTTCAAGCTTTTTGCTCCAGAGAGTTCCCTTTGCTGAAGAGTCAGGCTCGGCTTAGCAGTGGTCATGTAAATGTGAGATCGCTCATCCTGGGCTGTGATTTTACAAGACTAGACAGCAAGTTACAAAAACAAGTAGAAATTTTGATAAGTAAACCAGATTGTGAGTATTATTTTTCCTTTTCTCAAATTTTATTTAAAATTAAATTGATTTTATTTACTTTTAAAATTGGTGATGTTGGTGGAAACCAAACATCGACTTTGTTTTTAAGAAAAGACCCAGCAGAAACCCTTAGAAGGGCTTTAGTTGTCACGTAAAGGGGCACTTTCAGAATCGGTAGGTGATGATGAGAGCAGAGAAATAAGCAAGGGAGGGCCCAAGCCTATATTCATTTATTCAGCTGATATTCACGAATATCTAAGGTACTGACTGAGAAGGAATTAAAGATGATTTAATAGTCCCTGCCCATACTGAACTTACCTTTATAAAGAAAACAAAATAGAAGGGACACCAATAACCACAATGCAAAGGCAGACAGCGGAACACAGAGTGTCATGAGAATTCTGAAGCTGGGAAGAGCATATTGAGTTAGGCAATCGAGAGAGCTTTCACAGAGGAGATGATATTTGAGCTGAGCTGAAAAGATTTTGATGTGTCCTGGTG